CCCCCCGTCAAACAACCTCCCTCCTCCCGCCGTGATTTTTCCCGTCGAAGACCCTCCCTCCTCCCTCTGTGATTTCGCCTGTCGAAAACCCTCCCTCCTCCCTCTGTTGACGCCGACGCCCTGATTTAGGCCGTCGAAGACCCATTACTTCTTCCTCTCTCGACACCAACGCCGACGCAGGTAATATCTCGAACCCTCTCTCTCGATCTCTCCCTCAAGCCCTTTGATTCGATTGCGCTAAAATTGGTTTAATGGGTTTTTTTCTTTAATTGGTTCTGCTGAAATTGATATATGAGTCAAGCTAGTGCCATTATCCATCCTGGTGACGTATTTTGGTTAATTGTGAGGGAAGAGATCTTAAAAGTAATCTGTAGCAAGACAGCAAGAGCAGGACCACACAATTAAGTTTGTTTTTTTACTTAGTTATATTGGCAATTAAAACTTATCGGGAAACTCTGTCCGTTTTTAGGAGGTTTCTCCTTTGAGCCAGTATATGTCCCAAGTCATACTATGGCTGTCACCTCCTCCCCCTCTACATTGTGTGGATATAGAAGAAGAGCATGCTTTCAAACAGATATCATCAAAAGTTTTTAAACTCCTTTGTCCATCCAATTATTAAATTAATAGCACATTCATACCTATGTGAGTAATTGTTCCTCTAACAGTCGGATCTTAGATGAAAAGTTGCACATTTTTAACATTTTTAGTTTATGCTTCAAATATAGTTGATTATAGTATAGGGTAGAAGTTTTGCTAATGAGTTGGATGACTCTCAGAGGATGGGGATTTAGAGTCTCAGCTTGCCATACTGAAAATGGACATCAGCAAATATTAGTGTAGTTCAATCAAAATGTTTTTTGTTCTTCATCTTTCAATTGTTACCTTAGTCACCTCCTCATACTCAGACACACAAATGCACACTACACTACATACGCACGTTCACTGCTTATCATTGAGCATTTGCTAATCTCAGTCATGTCTAAACCTCTTTTTTGTCATTGCTTGTCCTGAAGGTTCAGCTTTCAGCTCCTTAAAATATAAAAGCTAATATACTTTAGAGTTGAAATGTGGCAATCCATATTCAGTCGTGAAGTGCAATATACTTTAGACTTGAATATACTTATTATAGAACATCCTATCATGTGCCATTTTTTAATATACTTTAGATTTGAATATACTTTTTAAAACACAATTTTTCAGGTTATCCATGGCAAGAAAGAGTTTCTATATTGTGAAGAGAGGTCGACGATGTGGCATTTTTTATAATTAGGAGGAATGCAAATCTCAAGTTGATAAATTCCCAAATGCCTCCTACAAAGAGTTTGAAACGTACGAAGAGGCTTTGCTTGAATGGGAGAAGCACACTATCGCTCGTGATTCAGCATCCAGCTCAAGGCATGTCCAGACACCAATTCAATTTCAACAACAAATACTTCCGTCGGGGCATAATCTGGATGAGGACAAGGCAAAACTTGGGGAAACTGCTATTTCCTCCATTTATGCTTTTGTATTAGGTTCGGTGTTTACAATATTAGTGTTTCTAGTATGTATCGTTGTCGTGTTTGTTGGTTTCTTCATTGCAAAAAACATGTGATGTGATTTGTGGATGATCCTTCTATGTGAGGATAAGCTTGTATAACTTGGGTCATTTTGTACTTAGTTTGAACTCAGTTTTCACAATGTTTGAAGTCAGTTTGAACTCAATTTTGTGCTCAGTTTGTACTCAATTATGAGCTTGTTTGTGGTCAGTTGGTCTTCAAATGTTAGCTTATTTGTACATAAATGAATAGAAGTTGTATGCAATTCTGTTCCATACAGGTTGTATTTGTTGGTTTCTCAAAATCTTCCATTTGAACTCAAAATCCGTAGCCCAAATGATATTAGACCCAAGCCCAAATCCACCTCTGCTTCCTCTCTCTTCCTCAAACAGATTTCAAGCATGGAATGCAGAAAGTTCAAGTTTAAAGTTACTTTATAGGATACTAACTGGTGTGCGCATGAGATAAACTGAGAAAGCTGAAGCTTGCATGCTAGTTAAGTCCTGATACTGGAGCTGCGTAGGCTCAGAAGTATGTTGATGTAGCAGAAGCATTTTTGTAAGCAAACTGACTAGACCTCTCTCCCTTATTGCTTTTAATTGACCAATGGGTGAAAAACCCTTATATTGACCACAATGAAGAACACAGGGATAGTCGACACAGGTTCAATAATGTGAATAATATGGCTATAACTCTGATGAAACTTACCACTTATTAGCATCTCGAAAACAATGAAAACAAGTAAATATTGCGTACTGAAGAATATTGCATACACAAGTACAGCAAAGGAAAACTTCAAACCTTTAACTGAATATTCATTTATAATAGAGTGCAGCAGTATTCCAGTTCAAACCAAGAATATTGCAGTAAGACTTACACAGATACAACATAGGTTCCTAGTTCAAACCTTCAAAAAGTATATATACTGAAGAATATTGCAGCAGTATTCCAGTTCAAACCAAGAATAGGTATAGCATACCTATAAGACTTACACAGATACAACATAGGTTCCCAGTAAGGATTTGTGTAAAACCCTATTTTTTCAACATAAACAAGCTCTGTAAATCACAACTCAGAATGAAATATGAATTTTCATTTATAATGGAGTGCCAGGCAAGTTTAAAGACACAAGCCATATATGCTCCAATACAACCCCACAAGGTACAAGTTCAAGCGTGAAATAGGAAAGCAACTATATAAAAAGCTAAGTAGATAAAACACAGTCTTTAAGCACTAACCAGTCCTTCGAACAGAGACTTCTCAGCTACCATGGATTTTGATGTGCTCCTTCTTCATAATGCCTACCTGCACAACAAATGGAACCAAAGTTTCAGTGCCCAATGAACCAAAAGAGTAATGACTGATTCGTTTCCATAGCTTACTGAAGGACATAATAAAGGTTAATGAACAAAACATATACACAAAACTGCAGCAACCTGTGAAAACTGCAGCCAAAATTCTCCTAAAATGCTCGAAAAATGTTCGAAAAATGCTCCAAAATGCTCCTAAAAGGCTGTTACTTTTTCTATTCATGGAAAACATTCATAAATTGTGCACAAAAAAGAATTCAATTGAACGTCAAATAAATATTACAAGATGAATTCTCAAGTAACTTACCAACATCGGGCAACCGGTCTTATAGTGACCCAATTGTTGATAATTCCCACATTTTCGATGTTTTATATCCTTTTTCGATTGTGACTCTTCAATTTCTGACTTGTACCTGCTAGCACCTCTTGGACGACCCTTTGTTTTTACTGGGCCACTAGGATCACGAATTAAAATTTCTTCAGCATCTCTCAATACTACATTTGCATTTGAACTAATTTGGCTTCCAATTTGAGAGTTTGCAATATGAATTTCATTAAGCATTACTTCCTTCTCAACTGATACAGTGATATCTTGTAGCATTCTCTTCACCATAGAAATGGCATTTACTGAACATGAAGCCATCTCAAGGGTAGCATTGAATCTGGCTTGAATTTGCTACAAAATGGACAAAAGAACAATACAAAATTGAAATAGTTGCATCATTATTAAGAGAGCATCTATCTCTGAACTTGTTGCTGCAAGGCCTAGCCATAGGATAACTAACAAGATACTGAGCTGCATTCCCTCTTAATAAAATAAACAACCAAACTGCAAATACATAAAATAACAGAACTTCAGACGGAACTATAAATCCAATCTTTATGCACTCTACACTGTAAATGCTGATTTTTAGAGAAACTCAGATAAAATGTCCCTAAAAAAGAGAAGCAAACAATCCTCAACAACCCTATAAAATGAGATTTTGCACTTGACCCAGAAAAATTCAAGTCAACCCCAATTCACAGCAGTAAAGCATTAGCATAATAACGCAAGAAAGAGGACAACCAATGGAATTGAAATCTGAACAGACCCTTACGGAATTGAGACCAAAAATCACTCCAAAAATACCCAAATTGAGAATGTACCAAAAATACCCAAATTGAGACTGTACCAAAAATACCTGCGTCGGCGTCGGTCGCGAGAGAGGAAGAAGTGATGGGCCTTCAACGGGGGAGATCAGCGTTGGCCTCCTGTGATCGCGGTTTTGTTGTTGGTGGTGTTTGTTTGGGGCTGTTTGTTAGATTGAGGTTGCCGTCGGTGTCCCGCGGCTGGGTTTCGCCAGTAGGCGAGGCGGGAGGAGGAAGGAGGGGTGTAAGTCGACACGCGGGAGGCTGGGAGGAGGAGGAGGTGTCGCGTCTGACAGCGAGGGTGGAGGCTGAGAGGAGAGAGGGTGAGGCTGTACGACGGGTGAGAAATGTGCGGGCGTGCGCGAGTCGCTCATGATGGTCGACGGGAAGAGAAGAGAATTCGCGCCAACGGCTCGGCGTCGTTCGCTGTAGGAATGTCATGGGAGAGGAATCACAGCAACGGGAGGAGGAGGAGGGTGGGTTGGCAGTGGAATTCTTGGTGGGGAGGAGGAGAAGAGAGAGATTCACGACGTGGCGGGTCGGTTTCTCCGAGAGTGCATGCAAGACTGGCCACGCTAAATCTCACACGCGAGGGTTATTTTGCAAACTAACCTATAGGGAGTTGATTAAAGACTCATTGAAATAGATAAGTGGATGGATCTGTACATTCAACCCATTTAGAGGAAAATCCCCTCGCTAGTGTCAATGACCTCCGTTAATCATCTCTCTCTCTCGTGCTCGGCCGCGTGAGCCATGCGGGGGTGCCGATTGCCTACTATATGAAGTATCTAAATACTTATTAGATATATATAATATAATCATTAGTATATATATATATATCTTATATGTGAGATTAATGGCTAGTCCTTTGTCATGTAGGAGGGGATACTTCCTCTTATAACCCTTGAAGACTCACATGACTGAGTGATTATTAGTGGATGATCCGCTCCGTGACTTGGATCTAAATATTATAAACCAGCAACACCCAAGTTTGAGGTGAACCGTTGGTCGTTTGAGCCCATCATCACTACGTATCATTCTTATACGTTTTTGCGAGATGAAGGAGAACTTTTACAGTGTGCTCGATGGAGGGTCAAACGACGACGAATTCCAACCCAAACTTGGTGTGTTGGGGTTTAGAATATGTAGATTCAAGTTCAACGGAGCGGATCATCCGGATATTTCGCTCAATCATGTGATTTTAGAGCGTCAAGGAGGAATCACAATCCTATGCAAGCGATACCTTCGATATATATATATATATATATATATATGTGTGAGAGAGAGAGAGAGAGAGAGAGAGAGAGAGAGAGAGAAAGCCAAAGAATATAAATATATAAATATTTTTTAGAAATTATAAATTTTGTGCCATTAAAAATACAAACGACCTCTTTTATTTTTTAGAGTATTCCGTATATATATATCTCACAAACATTTTATCTTTTTTTTTCTATCTTTTTTCTGGTTTTCTAGAATACTCTATACTATACTCCATGAACATAAAATATGGGCATATAACTTCATATCTAATATATTTTAGATTCTAAAAGGAATATAAATTCAAATTATAAGTTCCCTGTTAACAAAAAATATTATATATAGCTAGAAAACAAAGAACATAAAGTATAAAATATTTTTTAATTATAAATTTTGTGCATTAGGCACATGCATTTTATTATGCACCAACAAAAAAATAAAAATCATATATGAATGATATTAGTAG